CTGTCCATGGTGAGGATGACAGGGAGGTGCTGATGGATGGGCTGAGGAGGGAGGGGACCCTGTGGGGGAGGCTTTGACAGGGAAGGATGTGCCCTGGGTCACCTCACCTGCAAGGGGCGTCTCAGGAGGGAGGCTCCGGGTCTATTTCCTGCTTCACCATGAAAATGAGAGCCAGGCTGCTAGGGAGAGCCTGTGCCCTCACCTCTGGGCTGCTGACATGACAACCATGTGAGAGGGAGGGCCATCCTCCCTGTGCCCACACCCTCTATGTCTGTCCAGAGGCCATCATCGTCTCCATCTGCACACCTTCATGAGAGAGAGGAGACACCATGACCTCCACCCTTGTGGCTGTGCTGTGCCTCGGTGAGATAAGAGAGAGGGAGGGGAGCCCTGGTCTGTCAGGACCCAGGACTCAGGAGGCTCAAGGGGGGAGGGTGCTGCTCAGGGCTCAGGGCTCAGGGTTCAGGGCAAATCTCTCACAGAGACTCTCTTCCAGGGCTGAGTGTGGGCCTCAGGACCCCAGTGCAGGGAGGTGAGTCTCCCAGGTGTCCCAGGTCCCACTCCTCACTGGGGACAAGGACCACCCCATGAAGAGCTGGGGATGGAGGGGAGCAGTTCTGGCCTGACAGATGGGGGGCATCTGGGACTGAAAGCTGGGGACTGATGGTGAGAATGTCTTGTGACCCTGATACTAGCTTCCTTCTAGGGACACTCCTCAAGCCCACTCTCTGGGCTCAGCCAGGCCAGGTCATCTCCTGGGGGAGCCGAGTGACCTTCTGGTGTCAGGGGTCCCCAGGGGCTGATGAGTACCGTCTGGATAAAAAGGGAAGCCCAGCACCATGGAAAAGAGAGAAGCCACTGGTTCTCAAAAATGATGATAATCCCCGTAATGACCCTGTGGACAGTCCTTCATACCACTATGTGTTATTTTGTGAGTTTCTCTTTGATGTCCATTCCTGTAGGACACTCACCTCCCACACACCTGAGTGTCCATGAAGAGTTTTCCCAAGGCAGTCCTGACATTCATACCTGAAAGGGGGGAAGTGTCCTGCCCCATGGTGTCCACTCTCTCACACTTAGCATCTGACTGTAGTGTCTTGCAGGTTCAGCTGCAATATGAGCCTCACACTCACATTTGGACAGAAGCCCATGTTGGACTAGACTGGATTATTAAATCTGTTTCTCACACACAGGAGATGTGGCTCAGTGCTGACCATGGGCTGGGTCAGTGGGTAGAGTTTTCCTGTGCCCATTCCCAACGTATGTAGAGTGGCCAAGGATGCATCCAACTTTCTTCCTTTTCCACATCCCTCCCTGCATGTGAGCACGTGCAGAATCTTTTCTGATCACACAGAGGTGGGACCCTCCCCTCTGGTGACCCCTTGAGAATCCCAGGCATCGGAGGCCACTCAGCTTGGGTCGATTTTCTTGGCTGTCGATGCTTCTCCTATTGGGAACTTTTACTTCCCTTTTTCTGCATTGACTGTGCTATATCTTTCAGAAATACTATAAGTAGCATTTCTCAGCATTGAGAGCAGATGGGGCTTCTTGGGTGGGCACATTTATTGTCCACGTTGACTGTGGAGTCAGATACCTTGATTGTCTCCTGTGTCACCCCACCCATCCTCATTTGATTTGGGAATCAACAGGATTGACCCCTTCCAGGACCTGGGCAATACTGAACCCGCAACTAGTCTGAGGAGTTGGGTTCATAACAACATGTTGCAGATGGGGAAACTGAGGCTCAGAGATTGAATGTTACTGCTCATGGGCACAAGGGCCATGGACGATGGAGAAGCATTTACATAAGAATGAGTTTTCTCACCAACATCAGGCCACTGACCACTTACTGTTCCCTGAGCTGAGGACTGGAGCCAGGCTCACAGGATGGGGTCAGCGCTGCCCGAGGAACAAGGCACTGAGGAGGCAGGAGTGAGTCATAATCATGCTCCCAGGAAGGAGAGGGTGGCTGCTGTGGCAACAAAAAGGAGAAGGTCCTGAGGGGCCTGTGAGACACAGAAAGTCCACACTCTGGGGTCATGAGAAGAGTTGGTTTTCCTTCCCTTATTTCCCTGCATTTGCCTCTGTGCTCATTGTCACAGGGACATCGCCCTGAGCTGCACAGTGAGAGGGTGAGCATGTCCTTGCTGATCTGAGCTCTGCAGGCCCCAGGGACCCACGTCTTCCTGAAGCGTCTCCAGGACCTCGGTGATACTGTCCATGTTGAGGACCACAGGGAGGTGCTGGTCGTCAGGCTGAGGAGGAAGGAGACCTGTGGGGGAGGCTCTGACAGGGAAGAAGGTGCCCTGGGTCACCTCACCCACAAGGGGTGTCTCAGGAGGCTCTGGGTCTATGTTTTGCTTCACCATGAAAATGAGGGCCAGGGTGCGAGATAGAGGTTGTTCCCTTTCATGAGGAACTGATGACGTGACAACCACGAGAGAGGGAGGGCCAGTCTCCCAGTGCCCACACCCTCTGTGCCTGCCCAGACAGCACCACCACATTCACTCTGCACCGGAGCGAGGAGACACCATGACCTCCACCCTCATGGCTGTGCTTTTCATTGGTGAGATTTCAAGGGAGAGGGGAGCTCTGCGCTGTCAGGACCCCAGGACTCAGGAGCCTCATGGGGAGGAGAGTGCTGCTCAGGATTGAGGGACAAATCTCTCACAGGGACTCTCTTCCAGGGCTGAGTGTGGACCCCAGGACCCCAGTGCAGGCAGGTGAGTCTCCACAGGAGCCCCAGGTCCCTCTCACTGGGGACAAGGGGTTACATCCTGTGCATCTGGAGATAAACAACAGTGGTTCTGGGTTAATGGATGTGGAGCATCTTAGAAATGTGGGGGTGGGTAATGCCTTCTAACCCAGCCTCTGGTTTCCTTCCAGGGACCTTCTCCAAACCCACCCTCTGGGCTGAGCCAGTCCCTGTGACCCCCCTGGGGAGGCCCCTGACTATCTCCTGTCAGGGGACCCCAGAGGCTGAGGAGTACCGTCTGGATAAAGAGGGAAGCCCAGCACCGTGGAAAAGAGAGAAGCCACTGAAGCCCGGGGACAAGGTGATGTTCTCCATCCCACACATGACGGAGCTTATTGTTGGGATATTTCGCTGTTACTCTCTCAGCCCTGATGGCTGGTCAGAGCCCAGTGACGCCCTGGAGCTGGGGGTGACAGGTGAGAGGACACTCCGAGGTCCCAGCCTCAGGCTCTGCCCTCAGGAAGGCGGTCTGCTCTCAGGGTGTCTCCTCCTCACAGCCCAGCCCTGGGGGACATGAGGGAAGAGTGAGTCCATTTAACATGCTGCCTCCTCCTCTCCTAGGATCCTACAGCAAACCCAGCCTCTCAGCCCTGCCCAGCCCTGTCCTGACCTCAGGACAGAAGGTGACCCTCCAGTGTGGCTCAGGGCAGGGATTTGACAGGTTCATTCTGACTAAGGAAGGCGATCAAAGGCTCTCCTGGAAACTGGACTCACAGCCACAGCCCAGGGGACAGTACCAGGCCCTGTTCCCTGTGGGCCCCGTGACCCCCAAAGGCTCTCCTGGACACTGGACTCACAGCCACAGCCCAGGGGGCGGTACCAGGCCCTGTTCCCTGTGGGCCCCGTGACCCCCAGCGATAAAGGGCCATTCAGATGCTATGGCTGTTACAGGAACAGCCCCCAGGTGTGGTCGCACCCCAGTGATGCTCTGGAGCTCCTGGTCTCAGGTAAGGCCCATTATGGTCCCTTCCATTAATTCAGGCAACAAATACTGGGGTGTTCCTAGGGCAGGGGTGGGCAAACTTTTTGACTCGAGGGCCACAATGGGTTCTTAAACTGGACCGGAGGGCTGGAACAAAAGCATGGATGGAGTGTTTGTGTGAACTAATATAAATTCAAAGTAAACATCATTACATAAAAGGGTACGGTCTTTTTTTTTTTTTTAGTTTTATTCATTTCAAATGGGCCAGATTCGGCCCGCGGGCTGTAGTTTGCCCACCGCTGTCCTAGGGTCATTAATTTGAGTGCAGCCCCATATGAGAGGGTGAGGGGAGCACAAGGGCTCCTGGGCCTGAGTCACAGAGAAAGACAGTGAGACCCGATGTCCAGGCCAGGAGAATGGGGTTATTTGAGGAGCAGCCCCTGTAATTCACATCTGGTCTCCCCAGGTGAGTCTTGGAAGCCCTCCCTCCTGTCCCAGCAGGGCCCCATTGTGGCTTCTGGATAGAGCTTGATGACCCTCCATCGCTCTGATGTCAGCTATGACAGATTCGCTCTGTCCACGGAGGGGGGATGGGACCTCCCCCAGAGCCTTGTCCTGCAGCCCCAGGCTGGGCTCTCTCAGGCCTACTTCCGCCCTGGAGACTCAGAGAGGCTGACAGTGGGGGGTGGGTACATATGTTAGAGTAGGAACAACCTTTTCTTTGTAGTTGGCCCCCCCAATGACGCCCTGGATATCCTGGTGGCAGGTGAAGATCCAGTGGATTCAGCCAGGCACCCAGATCTGCACAGGCCCTGCTGGGGGTCTCAGGTGGTGAGGCCAGAATGAAGGTGCAGGGCCCCAGGAGAGAGACAGAGAGAGACAGGGGGTGGGAGGGAAATGGGGAGACTCAGAGAAACAGAGACAGACAGAGAAGAGGGTCCTCAGAGGGAGGCCTGGTGACTCTCAGGGCAGAACAAGTTGGGCAGGCAGCCGTCACCCTCCCTCCCTCTCTCGAGGACGGCTGCCTGACTGGCCCTCCTTCTCCCTCAGCCGGGTTTCAGGGTGGCCTCAGGAGAGAACGTGACCCTGCTGTGTCAGTCACGGAGCTGGAGGGACACATTCCTTCTGTCCAAGGAGGGGGCCCCCAATGCCCCCCTGATTCTGAGATCAAAGCACCGAGCTCAGCAGTATCAGGCACAGTTCTCCATGAGCGCTGTGACCTCAGTCCATGGAGGCACCTATAGGTGCTCCAGTTCACACAGCCCTTTCCCTTACCTGCTGTCACTCTCCAGTGAGCCCCTGGAGCTCCTGGTCTCAGGTGAGGGGCAGGGATTTGACAGGTTCATTCTGAGTAAGGAAGGAGATCACAGGCTCTCCTGGACCCTGGACTCACAGACAAAGCACAATGGGTGGCCGCAGGCCCTCTTCTCTGTGGGCCTCGTGATTCCCAGCCACAGGGGGACATTCAGATGCTACGGCTGTTACCAGAAAAATCCTCAGGTGTGGTCACACCCCAGTGACCCCCTGGAACTCCTGGTCTCAGGTGAGTCCCATTATTGTCCCTTCCATTGATTCAGGCACCAAATACTGGGGTGTTATTAGAGTCATTAATTTGAGTGGAGCCCCATGTGAGAGGGTGAGGGGAGCACAAGGACTTTTGGGCCAGAGATCCAGAGAGAGAGAGAGAGTGAGACCTGTGGGCCAGGCTAGGAGAAGAGGGTTATGGGAGAAGCATTCTCTGTAATTCACATCTGTTCTCCCCTGGTGAGTCTGAGAAGTCCTCCCCGCTGACCTATCAGGGCCCCGTCATGGTCTCTGGACAGAGCCTGACCCTCCAGTGTCACTCTGATGTCTCCTATGACACTTTTGCTCTGTCCAAGGAGGGGGAACGGGACCTTGCCCAGAGCATGATTCCACTGACTGCTGTAGTGAGAAGTGTCCCCACCTGTGGGCACCACTCTGCATGCCCTGTGCTCACCTGGAGGCCTCCAGGCCGTCAGTGCTCACCTGAGACTCAAAGGGGACCATGGACAGCTCATGAGGAACTAGGGGATTCCTGCCCAGACTCTATGTGAAATTCATGGCTGCTCTCTACATTTAAAAAAACACACACAACTGTATTGTTGAGAGTATTACAGATGCCCCGCACCCCTTTTTTTCTTCCTTAACCCTTCTCCACCTGGTTCCCTTCCTGTTCTTCCTAGGCCCTCACCACGCTATTCTCTGTGTCCATGGGTTATGCGTAGATGCATGTAAATTCATTGGTTAATCTCTTCCCGCCCTACCCCTTCCCTCTGAAATAAGTCAGTCTGTTACATGTTTCAATGTCTCTGGGTCTTTTTTGTTCATCAGTTTATTTTGTTCACTAGATTCCACATATAAGTGATATCACATACAGAGTTTTATGTTAGTGTTGTATGGCATTGGTAAATCATGTGATATCTGTGTTTCTGTCACTAGCTTACTTCGCTTAGCCTTATAACCTCTGACATATTTTGCACACACCTCTCTATTATTGCTTTTGCTATGAAAACTTTTAAGCAATAGTTACTTACACATATACATTTAAGGTTCAAACATTTAGAACTTAAACGAGGTAACTCTACTCGAATTGTCTTACAAAAGATGCTTCAAAGGTGGTGTGTATTTTTTTTCTTCAGATGCATTTACCAGTTGTATTCATAAAACTGAACCCACCCTTAGCTCAAGAATTGCTCAAGGTCTACATAAATGCATGTCTGTATATCTGAAACCAACCCATAAATAATTGGTCCTCAGCTTTTGCTTAAATATAAGCTCTTACATCCAGATGAGGTAGCTTCCATGGTTCAGAATCACACAATGAGCAGAGAGATTGAAATAACTCATTGTTTTCTGCAATGAGAGACCATATGTCACCCCAGTCCTGAATTCTCCAGGCAAAGCCAGTCTGTGCTCCAAAGTGACTCAGAGAAGAATCCATGAAAGAAGACAGAACCCTTCTCTAGCAGAGAAAGGGATTGTGGAGGGACTGGTAGCAGTTAGGTCATGAGAAAGGGGATAGTAGTGGGGACGCTGGGTTTGAGTGGCATCAAAGCCTCACACAGCCCTACTGGTTTCTGGTTCTCAGGAGCAGCCAACACCATCATCCCATCACAGAACAACTCAGACCCCAAGAGTGGTGAGTAAGAGACACTCTTCAGTTATTGGGTTGAGCATAGACGGTCGTGTCCTGTCAAGGGGAGGTGAGAGCTTTGGTGGACATCCAGGGTCCTGGGTGAGTTTGTCCTGCCCTGACCTCTGTGACCTCTTTGCCTATAATTCCCAGCTTCCCAGGCCCAAGACTACACCGTCTTGAATTCCATCCGGTTGGGCGTGGCTGGATTGGTCCTGGTGATGCTCGGAGTGCTGCTATTTTGGTCTCAAAACAGCCAGAAACAGACCCAGGATGCAGCCAGGACGTGATCACAGAGGGAACAATGCTCCGTTCAGAGAGTGGGAGCCTTGGGAATGAATCTCATGTGCCCAGAAGGTTCTGGAAGATAATGTGGGACATATGCTGAGGGACCTGTCTGAGGCTCCTTGCAGGTGGAGGAGTCATCGCTCATGTGCAAAGACAAGGTCTGGACCTTCTGCCCTTGGACTGTGGCCCTTTCTGTCCCGACCACTGTCTCCATGTCCTTATAGGTTCCTCCCCTCTGGTCCTTTCCCCTTTGCCCTTTAGTATAATAATTTGGGTGTTTATAAAATTCTTCACTAACAATTTAACCCCTTCTGTGTACTTTTACCATATCCATTGGCCTTTTTTTATTTGTAAAGGAGAGCTGGTGTACAATAAAGTCAGTTCTCAACTGTTTCCTCCACTTGACATGAACTATAAAGACACATGTTTCATGTGTGTATTCATGCACCTGACACTGCGTGTTCTCTCTGCTTCTCTGAAAAATAGCTGCCCACTGGCCCATAGGTGTAGCCAATATCATCGTCACCTCATTCTTCCTGAAACAACACACATGGCCCTTCTCTTTCTATTCCCGTACATCTGCCAGCACTTCTGTCTGGGAGAAATCTGCCCCCTCAGCTTTAGTCCTGACAATATTTAAGTCCTCCCTGTATGTCCCTGGTAGCTTTCAAGATGCAATGTAGGTCCTGGAGAGCTTCAGGGCAAGGGAGTCCAAGTAAATGTGTTCACAGGCCCATTAAGAGGAACACCTGGGAATCCAGAAACCCTCTGTCTCACTCAACCACAATCATCACAGGTTTTTACAACCAAAAGTTATGGGGACTTCTCTTCCCAGCACTTTAACCCTGGGCTGGGGGTTCTGGGACACCTCACAACTGAGCGAGGACCTTCACAACCAAGAATCCCGCTCCCCCAGTGTTTAACCACCACACATGGTTATGGGACCACCTCATTTTCCTCCCCCCGTCTCTATCACTCTCTATGTGGCTTCTGTATATACTCGGTTATAAAACTTCTGTTGGGCTAGATTTCAGGCAATTCTGAATGATGGATGTTCTGTAGTTTAGTTGTAATTTGATGTGGTTGTGGGAGGTTCCAATGACCATGCTTACACAACCATCTTGACCAGAACTCTATTCTCATGCATGTAAAGTTTTCAATTCCACTCACTCTGTCTGGTATTCCACAAAATTTCCTCAATGCTGTCTTCCAATTTCATTATTGTATCTTCAGCTGTGTCTTCTCCTGGGTGAAAAAAAATATTTGAGAGTGTTAAATCAAATCATGTTTTTATTTTTATTCCTTTTTACCACTATGTTGTTTAAGTAATGCCTTTCCAAAATTGTCTACACTTTTATCATATAAGCCCTGGGGTTGTTTCAATAATTCAATTTTAGCATTCATTGTTTCTGACATTTCAACAGTCTTTGATTAAAATGCTTTTCATATATTCCTAGTGTTCTGTTGTCTCATATATGATTATGTGCATTAAAGACTCTGTAGGCAGCCTTCCTTAGCATTATTTTTCATAGTTAGAGTACTTGTTGACATCTATTCCTTGTAGATGCTCACACCTGATTCTCCACAGAGAGTTACTCCCATGGCTCACCTGATGTTGGAATCTGAAGGGGATGGAGAGTTGTAGCATCCACTCTCCCAAACTCAGCTTTTGACTGTGATGTGCCCAGCAGGGATGGCTCCAATGTGAGCCTCACACTCACACCTGGACAGACACTCCTGTTGGACTAGGCTGGATTGAATTTGTTACACACACACACACACACACACACACACACACAC